ACTGCATCAGCATCTAAATCCTCACCAGGCTGTCAATTTCGTCTCAAACCTCTTTCCTGTTTCATTTGGAAGCCACCAACTAAACCCGTTCGGAGCACAGCCAACCGTTGCACCAACACATCACCATCAACGCCAACATTATCGCCATCAGCATCACTATTATGGTCAAAATTCTCTTCAACAGCAGAATCACTATCAAGGACAGAGCATCTCAGCTGGAAATGAGACTATCCTTGATCTTACTTTCGAGGCTCCAATCTATTCCAATCAGCAACAGAATCAAGTCCATCTTTCATCCGTTAATCATATAAATCACCAGCACTATACGCACTTGAACTTAGTACACAATACTAATCCATATCACCAACTGCATTATAATCATAATTCTTGCTACCGTACTCCTCAACAACACTTGCATCAAATCTATGGCCAGAGTTATCACGGTAATCCACCTGTTAGCTTTCACTCTAAGCCTTTATTATCTAAGCAATCTCCTTTCTCTCCTTTACGCATATATGCAGGCGTAGTGGCTGACGCTGCTGGTGCAGCTCCACAACCCGATACTTATGTTTCCACTGCTACGCATTGTAATGTGGGTAGGGGTAATTTTAATACTACTGGAGCGCAGCCTACTGTGAAACCTAAATATTATAACCGGGGTATATCATGTCATGATGAGGCTTCTGATTCTGTCCAGGTATCCAGCATGTTGGTTTCTGTCGGCTCTTTGGAAAATACGCAACTATGTTCGACCAACCACAATGATGAGGCTTACTATTCAGCCGAGACCAGCTCCATTGAGAACCCACAACCAGTGATGATCGTCTGTCAGGATACAGCCCACTCGGGCACTGTAGATAGGCCTGCTCTCCGTAATTCCGCTCGATCAGTAAAAAAACGAGTAACCCCAGCTTCCTCTAATTGCTGTCGCGAAATTTCGCCTATACGGGTGGCAAACAGCGAAGGTATCGACATGGATCAAGAGAACAGCCCCAATTTTCCTATTACTGGAACTCAGCTTGCAATGGTAACCGTATGCTCTGCTGTCGACAGCTTACATTTAGCCGACGTCGAACCCAGTCACAAGATGGAGCATACAACACTCAATCCTTATGGAGCAAGCCCCAATCGCTTGTTATTCGATGTTCCCCATTCTTTGGCATTTCCTGCTTCTCTGTCAGGTGACTATTATAGCAGTCGCAATCAGACAGCAATGCCAAATAATGTCGCTTCTTATCCTATTTTGCCTACTTCTTATTCATCTTCTCGCTGCCAAACGGTGACATGCAATAAGGATTCGCCTAATCCCCATATTGAACACGATTCAGATGCAGGTCTTCAAGCCACCGGGCCAACAGATGTGGGCGTCCAGTTCGAACGCCAAGCCACTATTTGGAAACGAGACCCAGTTGCTCTGGCGATTAAGCCTAGGGACGTCTCCGGTATCGATAACAAAAGCCGAGCCAAGAAACGCAGGGGCCATAAAGCTGGTAATTCATGTAGCGCACAGGCCCCTCACACAAAGAACCGAGCAACTTCAGTCGCTGCACCAGATATTTGTGAAGTGAGCGTTGAAATTGATGGCATATTTGATGACGGAAAAGTGGCTAAAACACATAGCAAGTATGATGAATTAAAGGAGCAGAGTGATAAAAGCTTGGTATGGAACCTTATGATTATCTGTTTTCAAAACCCATTTTATTCTCCTGTAAAATACTTTTTCATAAACACGCTTTGCCTCTACTTTTCCTTGATTCAGCCTCATAAATACTTAGTTAAGCAAGTATTTTTCATTTCTTGGGTTAAAAATTTGAGTTTATAAGTAGGGTTTCAAGACTACCAGTAAATCAATTTTATGGGATGTATTTACCTTAATTCGTTTAAGGTGATAAAGGACTCCTATTTGAATTTTCTCACAATGATATGAATAGAGCTGACGCTTTCATTAAATTTCACTAGCCTTGCTTTCCCAAAAGGTGTTTCCATCCTGGGTGGACTACAGTTTCGACTTGCCTAGGTCTTATCAGCACCCGCAAAGGGACTCGAACCATGACAGTGAAGCGTGTAATCTCGACACATTGACCACTACGCTACATTTCCAAAGGGCAGATGTGAATTTCAAGGAAGGCTTGCTTTTTCCCATATGGCATTTTTTTGGTGAGATTGTTGATGAGGCAAAGTTATATATGCCATAGCAATTTGTTACATTACCACCCATATAACTGATTAACTGGTAGTCTCGAAACCCTTTTAATAGATGAAAAGTAAGTAATTTAGTCAATTGCCATAGCAAATATAATTCGGCCTCATCGACAATCCCACCAAAGAATGTAATATGGAAAAAGGCCTGGCAT